ATTGTTTGCTTCGGCCACACCTCCCCGTGCACCAGCGCACCTTGGACACGCCCCCCTGTCTTCAGCCCCGTTTTCCTGCATGACGTTTCCCCAGTGTTTCCCCACTCCGTCGGACTGTGTCGTCCGCATAGGGTCCGGAAAGAACTGTTCGTTACATTATCTGGGGGAACCGGAGACAAGGTTATTCTATATATTTTTAATTATCTTGAATATTTAGCTTATGCCATTATCTCAGAGCACTTATTGACAAGCAAAGAAAGGATAGTGTAGAGTGGTCTAAACAAAGTGTGAAACTAAGCATAAATGGTTACTTTTACACAACGAGAAAGCAAGCAGTAATCACATTAGTATTGTAGTAATCACAACCAATGACGTTATACAGTGTCACATTCTAGATGCGCTTGGCTAGGAATCAGACAGCTGACCTACAGGAGCATACTGCTGCAGAAGAACTGTAAAAAGGAGTTCATCCCTGGCACTGGATGCTCAGTAGGTGTTGAGGTGTCACTTCACAGCAGGGCTGGTATTGTGATCATTAGAGTTACCCAGAATGGGAAATAAATCATATCCACTTATCCGTAACACTTTTTTTGTTCTTATATTGTATGCTATCTGTAGTGTTGAGCCATTTACTTGATATGATAGAGTCAGACCACAGAGCCAACACCCTGCATTGTAAGTCTCCATATTCCACATTGTATCTTTCCCGGTACCTATAACCAGTCTGTAATGGGTTATTAATGAATGTGAGAATTTGATTTGACTAGCATAAAACATTTTTTATTAAAACAAAAGTTAGCAAGCTGCACAATCAATTTAGACTTTACAGTATTCCAGATCAAATTCACACTTTAGCATATCATTGAGCTTATATAATTTATAATTCTATAATATATAATTCCTTTTGGAGACTCCTAAATATGCTAAAGGTAAAACACATGAGGGTCACTTCTAGAATCCCTGCCATCCTGCATAATGGATCAGATACAAGGTGCTAAGCCATCTTCTTATTAGGAAGGTGTGTGGAAGCACTCCTCCATTCAGGCTGTAATCAAATCTTCTGCATTCTTTTGTCTCACTGAGAAGACACTTTACTCCAATGGACAGAGCATTTAGAAGCTCAGTACAGGTTGTGAGAGTGTGTCTGTATTGTTAATGTGTAGCAGCCAGCCAGTAACTCCAGTGCTGTTATTGTGCAGTACAGTCTATGAGGGAGCACCAGTATTGTTAATATGCACTAATGTCATACAGTATGTGAGAGTGTATCGGTGTTGTTATTGTGCATACAGTCTGTGAGAGGGTTTCAGTATTGCTAATACACAGTACAGTCTCTGTGAGTGTGTCAGTGTTGTTTAATGTACTGCACAGGTTGTGAGTGTTCCAGTGTTCTTATTGCATAGTACAGTCTGAGAGAGTGTGTTAGTGTTGCTACTGTGCAGTACACCCCGTGAGTGGGTGTCAGTTGTAATTGCGCAGTACAATGTGTGAGTGTGTGTAGTTTTAGTAATTAGATCGTTTGGCTGGAGTTTTCAGGGAGCTGCCTGACCTCCACCATGATGAAGTCACTAGTACTGAATGTCTTCAGTGCTGTTTCCTTTCACACCCCAGGAGCAGAGGAAACTGAGAGTCTCTGTATATTTCTCAGGGTTTCCACTGCACATCCATAGAGAAGAATGTTATTCAAGGTTTGTTTCTTTTGAATTTTAAAAGAATAATCGGAGGTGTGAATAAGTGTGGGCCCTGTCCTTACTGGAATTCAGTTTTGACAGATGTAATGTTTCTCTGCACAATGCTATTGTGATTATAGCAACAAATCTAGAAATATTTAAACAATATTGATTACATTACATGTGTGTATTATTTGTATATTTTCCTTGTTATTTCATTATTAATCTGTAATGATGATGATTCTTAAGATTCTGCAATCCTAAGGGGATCGTTATCATTGTTGCCAGGGGAAAAGAACGGTCGAATGTTTCTGTCTATTTTGTCTGTGAAAGTGTAGATGACTGAGTATACATCTTCTTTAACATTATAGAAAGAGACCTTATCCTTCTCATACTCCACATGGATCCCCACTCTTGTGAGAACGTCTGTGTCCAGTGGGGTCTCAGGGTCAGTCAGGGCCGTCAGCTTCCCATCCCAAAGACTCAGGACCCAAAACCCAGCTCCAGGGCTCAGACTCAGTTGCCCCTTCCTGCACACTGAGTCTCGGGCCACTCCCAGCTCCCAGGACTTCTTGTTTCCAACCTCCACCTCCCAGTAACACCCCCATCTCATCTCTACTGGTAACCTGTTGCCCAGCATACAGGGGTATTCATCAAACCGCTCAGGATTGTCAGGGAGATTCTGGCGATGTTCTGTCCAGCTCAGTTCTCTGCCGTCTTCTGACACTCTCAGGTAGGGGTTCAATGTGTCCTCATCCAGGGTCACAAAGACTGTGTAAAGAGAAACAAACAAATACAGATACAATCCTCAGAAATGTTTGAAAATGTTTGAAATTTGAGGGAGTTTAATTAAATGACAATTCATAAAGAAATTCTGATCTATATAGTTAATTTGTTTTGTAATGTGACTTTTTAATGGCTTGCTGTTCTCACAAAAAACTTTAAAGATGGTTTCTGAAGATGATGATTAGTAAAACTAACTTATACAGCAATGAAACAGCTGTCCAATATGTTACATCTGGCCGCTTGTCAATTTTGTGAATTGACTTTACTTTCTGAAACCCCATTATTACCTGCATGTGCACATCCATTGTAAACAGAAACTTGGAAAACCATTGCAAGATCTCAGCTTGACATTATTTACTTGTTCTGATATGTGTTTTAAAGAATGAATAAATAAAATGCCATCAGTGGCATAATGTAGAAACACCATCTATTTTCATAGAGGACTTCAATGGGTCTTCAATCTCAAAAGTATGTCGAAATCTTGAAAAGCTGTAATAAGATTTTATTTCTAAAAGTTTGGAGGAGCTTTCTTTGTCTTATCCTCCTGCTGTCCAATGGTATGTGGTGTAAAGGTAGCTTAAGTAAGAGGTAGCTGTTGTCTGGCAAGGAGGGGGCTGGATATTAGCTGCCATGACCTGAATCATTTAATCTTTCTCCCATTCTTGTGAAATGCTACCACAGAAGTTTACAGAATGAAACTTTCGGCCAGCAGCCATTTCACTCTGCAACTCACAACTGGCAGCCCACTGAAGCTCAGCAGGTGTGAGCCTGGCCAGTACCTGGATGGGAGACATTAAAGTGGCTAAGGTTGCTGCTGGAAGAGGTGTTAGTGGGGCCAGTAGGGGGCGCTCACCCTGTGGTCCATGTGGGTCCTAATGCCCCAGTATAGTGATGGGGACACTAGACTGTAAATAGGCACCGTCCTTCAGATGAGATGTAAAACAGAGGTCCTGACTCTCTGTGGTCATTAAAAATCCCAGGGCGTTTCTCGAAAAGAGTAGGGGTGTAACCCTGGCGTCCTGGCCAAATTGGCCCTTACCAATCATGGACTCCTAATTAATCCCCATCTCTGAACTGGCTTCATTACCCTGCTCTCCTCCCCACTGAGAGCTGGTGTGTGGTGAGCGTTCTGGCGCACTATGGCTGCCATCGCATCATCCAGGTGGGGCTGCACATTGGTGGAGGGGAGTCCCCATTACCTGTAAAGCGCTTTGAGTGGAGTGTCCAGAAAAGCGCTATATACGTATAAGCAATTATTATTATTAAAAGAATAGTAAGCTCTCTTGACATGATTAAGTACAACAATTCAAATAGTATGTTAGATTAATTTGGTAGACAGGGGTTTAGGTTAGTGTTGGCCAGCATTGTGCAAAGCTTTGAAATACCTGAAAGTAATAGAAACATTAGGGTCTTTATTCATAACATGTGTGAAGATAACAAGAGTGTGAAACAATTGGGATTTACGCAGCTAGACTTGTTAAATCTCAATCCCTGATTATTTAACTTTTACTGTTGTGTAATGCCATCAGAGATGACTCGTGGAGTAGATATACCAGGTAGAGTCGGCAGGTAGTTTCAGTGCCAGTAATCAACATTACTAGTGAGTAAGTGGGACCACTCAAGTACTTTAAGTACACTGTCTTCCTCCTTAGTTTCTTGGTTGTGGTTTTCTTAGTAAAGTTCAGATTTAATTCACAGAACTGAAAATAACTCAGGTGTTGTGCATGAAAACAGATAAATCCAAAACTGACATTACTGACAGCAACAACAACAAAAAAAGTACCTTCCATGGCCCGTCTCACTAAAATATCTGGAAGAGAGAAAAAGCCAGGGTTCATTCATAAGGTAAACAAATATGGCACTTTTCCAAATCATTTATACATAGAATTTCCTATATAATGTGAAAGAAAAACAAGAACTTCTCTTTTAAAGCTTTCACAAAGCCTGAATTTAAAACTATTTAAGCTAAGTATCACATCAAAACCCTGAAGGATCATGTAGAAAGTAAAGACAGGTGCACTTATTAGCCAAAGGACTATCTCTTGTTTCAGTGGTTGAAAGTGTACAATATATGTTCTCATCACTGGAAATAAAGAAAATTACAATCCAGAATATACAGCCTTACAGACACACAGATACAGTAGGTCCAATAACTCAGCTTCAGATCAGGGAAACAGTTCTTCCCAAACACTCAACTCCACAGACCTCATGTTTTAGATGTTACAGAGGTCCCAATCTTTTTTAAACCCTATCACACAATTTTATTTTAAATGGAAAGTAATACAGCTGACTCTCAAGATGGAAGAAAAATGCTTATGTAGAATTATTATAAGATAAGATCACTTTATTAGCCATATACAATTTATTGTATTAGGAATTTGTCTTTTCACATACATGTACCCCAGCTTGCTCTCTGTGAGACACACAGACAGGGAGAGAAGCTGGGGGTCAGAGTGCAGGGTCAGCCATTGTACAGCACCCCTGGAGCAGCTGGGGTAAAGGGCCTTGCTCAGGGGCCCAATAGAGTAGGATTTCTCTGCCAGTCACAGGAGTTGAACCAGTAACCCTTCAGCCACAGGCACAGAGCCTTAGCCACAGAGCCACCACACCACTCCTGTCTGTTTGCAATGACAACATCGCAAACACATTTCTTACTGTGCAGCTTTTCAACCTGGTTTTTATGGTCTAGTCTCTACAAATGCAAGCAACAAAAATTAAAAACAGTTCAACTACACTTGCTATCATAAATATTTGTTCCCCTTGGACTTTTGTGTTACTATTGTGTTACAATATAATAATGTATTTAACTGGGAGGTTGTGTCATTGATTGACAGAAAACACTCTATAATGTCAAACACTCTATAAAGTGAAAACAAGATTCTACAGATACTCCTAAATTCGTTATAAATATAAAACAGAAAAAAAACTGATTGCATAAGAATTCACCCCCTTTGAGACAATATTTGGAAGAGGCATATTTGGGAGAAATAACAGCTATGAGTCTTCTTGGATAAGTTTCTACCAGATTTGTACATTTGGACACTGCAATTTTTCCCACTCTTCTTTGCAAAATTGCTCAAACTCCCTCAGATTGGATGGGAACTGATCTGGCAGCCAGCAATTTTCAACTCCTACTACAGATTCTATAATCCAGGTCTGGGCTCTGTGTGGACCACCCCAGAACATAGCCTTTTTTTCTTTTCAAACCACTCCAATGTGGTTATGGCTCTGTGTTTTGAGTTATTGTCCTACTGGAAGATGAATCTTCTCCCCAGACCCATGTGTCCGGCAGACTGCTGCAGGTTTTCCTCCAGAAAATCTCTATACTTTGCTGCATCCATTTTTCACATGTCTTCCAGACCCAGATTGTCACGCCCCACACTCTTACTCGGAAACGCCGTTCTTTCCCTGTCACATTCCACACTCTCCCTCGCAAACGACGTTACATTCCCGGAACCTCTGCTTCACAATCTCATCCCTGATTGAACCCAGCACATTCTCACATGCATCAGATTCCTCAAATTCTCACTCCCT